TTTGTTCAATGGCATTACTCGAGATGAAGGGAAAAACGATTAGAGGGCCAGAGGCGCACGAGAAGTTTATTGACAAATTGGAAAGGATTCAGCATAACTTTACCAGAAAATTGTTTATTAGAGCTCTTGGTTTCACTTACAAAAGCATCCCACGGGGTCTAATCAGAAATAAAATTCTTAATTTGGATCCAATATACTTAAGACTACGGCGTAATGACTTACTTACGGTTTATAATATTTTGAATGGACTTGTTGACATAGACCGCAACTCCTTTTTTGAACTAGTATCTTCCAAAACTAGGGGGAACGGTTCAAGCTTTCTTTTCGCCGGCCTCGTTCTCTGACAGGGCGCAAGTTCTTTACGTTTCGTGCGGGCACGGAGTACTCGAGGATGAGCAAGCAAATACGATTTTCTGTTTCTTTCTATAAATTCAAAAAGATGGTCATTCAATATCTTCGCGGTGTTAAATGCGTTGTCAAGGATTCAAATTGATAATTCTGTACTTGTTGTAAGCTTATATTGATTGTAGTCACATGTCATTGAACATGTAATAAATGAAATAAAATAAGTTTTGCTGGCTTAAGCAGGTTCGAAGTACCGGGCAGCGAGGCTGCCAGGGGACTTTCCCTAGCGCATGTAGGTTGATAACTAAATGTCACTATCCATGAAATGCAATTTGGGGTTTTTCTTCAACGACTGTACAGTTCAGCGACAGGAGAGGTACGCAGAAGGTGAACACTATTGTGGTCGATTTGATGGGTTGCTTCGAATACGCGTAACTTACTAAGGCGTTTTCGGTATCAACTCAAAAAGAAAAGGGTGAAAGGGGACGTTTTGGGAAAACCTGAAAGACATAAGAAATCTAAACACACATAAGTAGCGCGATGCACTGGGGGCTGTAAGTGGTAAGCGCAACAGTGTATGCCCACCAAACTGGAAGTTCATATAAGAGGTAAAAATAACCCGAACAGGGGGTAACAGTGCTCGTTCAATACTCGAGAAAATATAGAGCGCACTTACTTGAGGTCTGCTTTCACAAGAATTTGCGTTCGTTCTTCCTCCGTTTGAGCTCGGAACGCTTTCTTTCCTGCTAATGCACGAGAGACTGCGGCTTGTGAGGAATCTATGGTTTCTACACCTTTCCATTCATTGGAAACTGGAACGAATTATGTCGCGAATTAAACAACTTCATCGACACAAGCGTATAAAAGGGTTTGTAAAACGAATTGGAGCTCACCACTCTTCGTGAGGATATCTTCCGCTTCGTTACCTGAAAAAAGAAGCATAGTTGACTCGTCCATTTCTGTTGAAAATATGGTGCAAACAATGTGACCGAGATTCAGAGCCCAATCGGCTACTTTTCCCAACAAAAAAAGAATTAATTAGATGATGCCATAACTACGCTCTAGAAAAGGCACTCAATGACAGCCTTTCAATGGAAAGCGTTCTCAAATATAATACAACCCGAGTCTTGCCGAATTTTCTCAATGCTGATTCGAGAATTCAATAATTCTCTGGCATAAGCACAACGGATATTAGGGATAACGGTTACAATAATGTTATGTGGTCTGAAGCGTTGTTCCCATTACAACAGCGCTGATGGCACTGTAATTGTCCAAAGCGCCATATGTGCTCAGTCAGAAATAATAATCGCATAATAGTGTGCAAAACTTACTTTTTTGCTTGGTGGGCGACAAGGTGATACTGTTGAGGCGAACAGATTTGGAAGCCTAAAATGTCTCCAAATAAGATTAATCTCGCAACAATTCAAAAGTGAATACACCACCTTGTTGACGATGTTGTGAAGCGGTTTCAGTCTATCGGGGTCGTAATAATTAGCGAAGCAACTCATGCCGGGCACGATCAAACGTGACTGAAAGATGGTTAAAGACAAGGCCGAGCGTTGTTGTAGGAGCAAACTTAATATTCAGATATATTCTATACCGGAAAACTCACCGAACTAGCTAGAGGATCGTTTTGATAAGCAGCGATTTCTTCTTGGAACTTGGAACGGATACGGGAAATCAGGTTGCTGTCCAACTCATCCACAGTTTTCATTGCATCTCGCAAGACC